CCAAAGCCAGTCCCTTCCAACAATTTAAGTACCCCCAGCGTTTTACTGGGCTTGGGACCAGATATTAGTTAGATTTTGTATGGAATAAAAAGGCTCTTCGGGTATAAAAACATATCTACAGGACAGAGGCGATTTTTAAAGTGTTGGGGCTTTATTTTTTTGCTAATTCAGGATAAAACTTGAAGTTGTGCGACTTGATCTTCTGTGTACATTTGCTTGTTATACATTCTCCTTTCTTTCTTGATAGCGACTTTCTGTTTGGTCTGTGTTATTAGTTTCAGCTTGGAAATGGTCTGGAAGCCGCATAACGTTTTCAGAAAGACAATTATATTTGGATGGGGGCGGTACAGAGTAATTTTGTCAAAGGGACTAGATCTATAACCGTTGGATAGAATTGGTAATCTAATTGTATCGATATCGCTCTGATAGTGCGCGGCTGGGATAGTTTTTTTCTCGAAACTGTACGGCTCTGATAGTTTCCCATCTCGACTTTCAGTCAAAATAGATGGGTATTTTTATTTCACCGAAATCAAAACCATGAAGAAGCTTTAAGATGATGAAGAGAACTTCCTATGGTCAAAAATGGACGAGCACCTGATTACAACGCGTCGTGACACAAATGTAAGGCGTGCTGACAAAATGAATTCCTTCTTGCAATCCAAGAAAGGAGCTATTCGCTCAAAAACGATACTGGGGTCAGATTTATTGATTTTTAATTGATGCCATTTTGTTCAAGTCTACGGTGTCTATTATTATTCCATATAATACTAACAAATTGTACAAACTCCACTTATGTGTCCGGCGCGCTCATATGACCTATGCAGTTGCGAGCGCCGTAAAACACTTTACAAAACAAAAAACAAAAACTCCACCTATAAAGTTGACGTATCAATTTCCATAGCTGAAATCAAAGAAGTAACTCGTTTTGTCAGCACGCCTCTCAAATATTATTTCAAAGATATTTTGCTTTCCTCCATGTTTTCAGAGGACAGCAACTACCACCAGCAGAGCGCCGTGCCCATGGAAATGGAAACACACGGGGGAGAGGATGTTGCTATTTACGCTACAGGTTTGTCTGTCTGTCTGTCTGTCTGTCTGTCTGTCTGTCTGTCTGTCTGTCTGTCTGT